TGACCGTAACATACCTGTTTAGGTTGTTCATAACGCTGTCCGATGACAACTCAGCATCACTTGCATTCAGTAGTTGACTAATAGTGGTCACAGCAAAAACAGCTATATCCTAAAACAATAAAAAATTCCAGAGCATGTTTATGATACATATTTAATTTAAACACAGTATTAATTCCAAAGAAACTGCTGGAGGAATGTCCAACTATTTAGCTGTGACATCATCAAGAAAAACAGTAGCCTGACATGAATCAATTCCCTTCTACATTAACAGTTCTCTTTTCATTTATTACTTGCTGAGCAGTTTTATATTTAACCTAAATGAAGGAGGAGCAATATCATGACCTGGGTAAGGGAACTGGCTGCTCTTTATTGATGAACAATTGATGGCAGAAGTAGAATTAATGCTGATAAACAAAATACATTTGTCTAATTCTGCAAAAGAAAATGTATTTTGCAAATGTATTGGGTGGTCACCTCATCGTGCAGCACGAAACAGGATGACAGAAGTCCCAGACCATATAGCCAATGCATCAGTAGAAAAAAAAGCAGAAATCCTTGGACTCTCTAGGTTTAATTTAAATCTAATTGAGCATGCATTCTACATGCTGAAGAAAAAAATTAAAGTTTCTCAGTAATGGACAAGAACGCAGGGTGCCTGTAGCAAAGGCATGGCAAAGCATCTTTAAAAGAGTTTGGTTTGGTGAGCTTAAAGCTTTGTGTACTTCATAGAGTTATTCCCCCAAATTATGGCAACACAATATCAACTTTTCTACTTTGAAATTAACTGAAATTAATTGCGGTGGACTCTGGGCCTCGCAAAATCACTGGGATGAATACAAAGTACGTTTCTGTTCTAACGTGATGAAATTTATGGACCCTAAAATAAAGTATACATTATTTACATAATCACATTCCTGAATATCATAGTAATTATGATAATTGTCATAATAAAGAAATACGTTTCTTGACTGCAAAACATAAATGACAGCTTTTCCTCTGCTGTTCCAATACTTTTAGAAGGCACTGCACCTATGTGGTACTTGAAGAGGTTTTAAAATAATGCCTGTTCAATGTAAAGTCATATTCTTTTACATTATCGACTTTATCGTGTAATGTGGTAGCTACAGTAGATAGGTCAGTGTTGGCTTAGCCTCTCATTATTGCAGTGCTGTCAGTGTGGGGACAACAGTGTGAGCCAGAGCTAAACTTGTTAGCTCAGGTAGGTCTGAGAAAAATGGGCGTATTGTACAAACATCAGTCCTTCTCCCTGCCTCCCTCTGTGTTCAATCCTATGTCTTTACCTCAGTGAAGGCTGTGGTGGAGGCATTGAGAATCACCCTCATGATCTCTGCTGCATTGGAGATCTCCTGAGCAGTTAACTTCTCAGGCTGGGAGGTCAAAATCTGAGTGTTGCTGGCAATCTCCAGCAAATCCGTCTGGTTGTTTTGGATCTTTTAGGAAAAATCAAGAATCGCTACTGTTATTTTTCTGTTAAAAAGATAAGATATCCATTGATTCATTGAATCCTACTGGTAACTAACATAATATTGTTAATACTGTAGTTCCAATACTCAGAAAATTAAATTTTCTAACAGATCATTCTCTGGAGACATATTTATTTTTAAGAAGGAATTCATTGTCATAGCGTCATGAGATTAATACAAATTTAATATATATTCACAATGATAAATTCTGTTTTCCAGCCTTCAGAAGCACTTATATTGCGCACTGAAAATCATCAACAACACATTCAACATTTTTTCTAATTCTTGTCCATACTGTAGGTTAAAAACTGTAAAACCTCTTACAGTGCAATAAACATCTCCTTTGCATATCAGTTTTTTTTTATCTGTTTGGACTTCTCCCTAATTAATTGGCTCACTTACAACCCTGTAGCACAACCCCATATCTCTTCCTTCAAAAAGCATGAAAATTGGCAAGCAGGTAAAACATTAATCTTCCACAGTTTTATTCAACCCAATAAACCCCAGCTATCTTATAATTCCTTTAGCCAGGCTTTAATACCTCACAGGGCATGAATTTCATTTACAACTCTTAATTTAGTTTAGTAGTTAGTTGTTAACTGTTAACAACTAAATTAACAACTTTAATTAACAACTGCCATATCCTGTCTGGTTCTTGTATCCTATCGTGCCAGATTATTTCAAAGCTGCCATGTCA